GCTCTGGGCTGTTTACATGGTAAAGCGGTAACAAATGTGGGCCATAAGCATGAATTCGGATTAGCCGGGCTCGCGAGCTCCTGGCATGAATTATTCAGCTTCCGTAATTTTCTTCGTTTCTATCTTCCCCGCCCAGGCGGCGCTTCTTCGGGTGTTTCCTTTTTACGGCCTTGGTTCGATTGGCCCGATTCGAGGGATGTGCGACGGGGCAAAAAGGAAGCGGAGGGGAGCCTCTTTCCTCGTCGACTTCCGCTAAGTGTACCGAATCGATCACCATCGCCGCCACCACAAAAGGCCGGCCGCTTTCCCGAGGAGGCCGGGAAAGAATGCGACGGCGAATGACAAGAAAATTGCTCTTAAACTGCAATCGGAGGCCCACTACCCGTCCCCCGCCCAGGGCCAGCCAGGAACCCCTGCTACCTGTTGGAATTAACTGCTGTTTTCTCGGCCTCGCGCCTCCTTCCCGCAGTTACCGGCGACCTCGCTCATTTCCGCCTCCCGGGAAATGGACTTCCCTCGATTTTCCTCCAGAAATTGCGCCTCGGTCCTGTCGAGCCTGCCTTTTCGCGCCCTCGGCCGTTCTTGACCTCCCCCAGAGGATCCTCGAGCGCGGAAACCGCCCTCGTCCGATCCCGAGGAAATGGATTTCTCGCGGTCGTTAAATCCCTGGAAAATCGACCCCCCTTGGGATTTTCGTTACTTCTCGTGAGTTCTTTTTTCCTGCCCCCTGGGAAAAGCCTGTCTGGGGTGTCGAGTCATTTTTTTCAAGGATCTTTATGACGTCGGGCACGCTTTGGCTCTCTGTCTTTGCGCTCCTCTCGGCGGTCTCGAGGAAAGGGCTTGCAAGCTCCAGATTGCCCAGAGCGGATTACAGGGGAGGATCAGGCGGGTTAGGGATGCGCCTCCTCGAGATCGCCTGAGATACCGGCTTACGGGGAGCGGGTTTCAGAAAGTGGCTAGAAAGGAGCAGGTTACCTCCACTCGGTACTGGGGTGGATTAACGAGGGCATCGACAAGGTGGTTGCTGCCGATCAACGGAAATCTGCATTTGGTGTTACCCCTCTAAAGTGGAACGGACGTTTTCCGGAAACTTCTCCGACACAGTCGGAAAGTTCCTGATTTTTCGGCGTAATCTCTCGCGGCATAACAGCACGCCTAAGTTCGCGTGCTACGTTTTTGTACGTAATCTACTAACTTAACTAATGTTTCTATTAGTGGTATATTAATTTCAATATGCCATTTAAATGCTTAATCAATGGCTATGTTCGTGCATTGTCATTAAAATCACCGCTCTTCGTTATTTCGATCTCGACCCAATTATTATTCTTCAATTGATTGCTATTCATCGTTGTTGTAACATTGCAATTAGCAGTGATGCTAATGAAAACACCCACGGATAATTATTGAAATTTAAAGTGAAATAGAGTACAAATGTGATATTTAAATGAGCATGCCCGGAATAATCCGCGAGGGCAATTCATGACAGAATAATTAAGAATATTTATTATAGTAATATCTAGTAATTCCGTTTAATTAAACAATTTCACTTCGACCAGTTTCATTTTCATAGATGCGCCGATTACTTTTTTTCATTACCGGGGGTGTTTTTTGCCACACCTGGACCGATGGGAATCATTTCCGGAGGGTTGGAGGCGTCCCGAAATTCTGGGGCACTTCTCCCCCGCAATCGCGGAGCACTTCTTCGGGTTCCTAACTCGCTGCCGGCAATCCTGGAAGACGGTGTCCCCGAAAATGCTTAAAAGCCGTATCCGCCAAGTTCGTAAGGTATAACAGGGGTTGGATCAGGTAGGGGTGGGCCGTCCTCGCGCTTGGTAACTTTCCAAAGTTGAAAGTTTTGCGGGTCGCGCATTTACTTGGCGCGGAAAGTCGACAGCGAGCTTGGAGTACATAGACACCCCCCCATGTACTCCACATACAGAATCTTTAGGTAAGAGATCTCGGTGCATTTTTCAAAGTGCACATCCTCGAGTCGTTCGCGTCGCCTCCCTTTCCAGACTCGGAGGGAAGAAAGGGCCCTTTATTGGCTGAAGTTTACAACCCCCCTAGAGGAGATCCTAATTGGCACGGCTTCCGGCTCGACGAACCGAAATCCGGAAGTGTCGAGTCGAGTTTTGCCTCTGAAAAATTCGGACAAAGGCCGAGAATTGCATTCGATGCACTTTCTGGGCCGCCACAGCCTCGGTTCCACTCTCCACCCCGATTCGGTGATTTTAATATCCGAGGTCAATGTTTCTCTCTCTGTGGTGTTTCTTTTTCCGTCGCTGTCCCATTTGTTTATCCATTTTAATAGTTGTTGTTCGTGGCCCCGAGATGAATGCGAGCTGGCCGCGGGTCGGCGGCCGATCTGGCCGAATTTTCGCAACATTGATTGGCTAAAAGCTGGCCCGGCTAACTGTAGTTTGCTAGACTAGGTCAGCTACTGGTACATTTGTCTCGCCGAATTGCCAGAAATTTGGACCGGCCGGGAATTTACAGAAAGCAATACGAGGGGGCGAGGGAAGTTTGTTGAAAAATGTCCCTCCTGTTTCGTAATCGAGATGGCCACTCGACACGGATGCCCTTTGGCGAGAAAATGGCCTAGGGGAATTTCTCCACCCTTACGGTAAGTGTACCAGTGGTCGAACACGTCCCAGTTGCCCTAACACCACCTTAAATATTTCCCTTTTATTATTCATGCCGTGAATAATGGCTGTTCGGTGCATTCGACTTTTCCATCGTCTTGCATAAATAATAAATTACTCAATATTTACATATATATATATAGCATGTTTCAAACTAGAAATTCTGTTTTTTACGTTGATTCAAGTCATCTGTACCTCATATCAGTCTCAANTACATAGACACCCCCCCATGTACTCCACATACAGAATCTTTAGGTAAGAGATCTCGGTGCATTTTTCAAAGTGCACATCCTCGAGTCGTTCGCGTCGCCTCCCTTTCCAGACTCGGAGGGAAGAAAGGGCCCTTTATTGGCTGAAGTTTACAACCCCCCTAGAGGAGATCCTAATTGGCACGGCTTCCGGCTCGACGAACCGAAATCCGGAAGTGTCGAGTCGAGTTTTGCCTCTGAAAAATTCGGACAAAGGCCGAGAATTGCATTCGATGCACTTTCTGGGCCGCCACAGCCTCGGTTCCACTCTCCACCCCGATTCGGTGATTTTAATATCCGAGGTCAATGTTTCTCTCTCTGTGGTGTTTCTTTTTCCGTCGCTGTCCCATTTGTTTATCCATTTTAATAGTTGTTGTTCGTGGCCCCGAGATGAATGCGAGCTGGCCGCGGGTCGGCGGCCGATCTGGCCGAATTTTCGCAACATTGATTGGCTAAAAGCTGGCCCGGCTAACTGTAGTTTGCTAGACTAGGTCAGCTACTGGTACATTTGTCTCGCCGAATTGCCAGAAATTTGGACCGGCCGGGAATTTACAGAAAGCAATACGAGGGGGCGAGGGAAGTTTGTTGAAAAATGTCCCTCCTGTTTCGTAATCGAGATGGCCACTCGACACGGATGCCCTTTGGCGAGAAAATGGCCTAGGGGAATTTCTCCACCCTTACGGTAAGTGTACCAGTGGTCGAACACGTCCCAGTTGCCCTAACACCACCTTAAATATTTCCCTTTTATTATTCATGCCGTGAATAATGGCTGTTCGGTGCATTCGACTTTTCCATCGTCTTGCATAAATAATAAATTACTCAATATTTACATATATATATATAGCATGTGTTTTGGAAACTAGAAATTCTATTTTTTATGTTGATTCGATCTGTACCTCACATCGGTCTTTATCTACTTAATCCTAAATCTGAACGGCGTCTTAAGTGTTCACTTACCTTAAAAGATGAACGAGTTCGCGTTCGCGATATAGGGTATAATATTTAAAGAATAAGGGATTGGATAGATATTTTGCATACTTTGAGTAGAGGGAGATGGGTCATCCGGGGGTTGAGATGGATATTGCTTGGAGCTTCTCTTTTTGCGCGACCTCGTCGTGGGAGATTCGCGATTCAGGGCGGAAATCTTCATTCGAAATCATGACGGAGAGGGTGAAAGGGACTGAAAGAAGACGGAGGACCCGGGAGGAGGGACGGAGAGGAACTTTTCTCGTTTTCGAAAATTACCAGCCGTTGAATCTCCGCGGCTATGGTAATGACCGACGAGCTGGGCCAATTAAAAGTGGCGGTTGTTCCGGAATTACTGAGACTTCTAAGGGATAGATAAGTAGTGAAGGTGAAATCGAATCTAGGAAAGAATACTAGCTCCTTTTTTATGCAACATTTTGGAAAGGTAATTTGTTAATGGAAAGTTCGAAGCTAGGAGATGTCGGGGTGTAAGAAGACGAAGGAAGGCTGGATCCTGGTCCAGCAACGATTCCAGTACAGCGCATAATTGTCCCTCCGGAAGCAGGAGACTAGAAACTAGAAACTAGTCCTTGCTCCCCCGCTAGTCCGCGTTTATCCCCGGAAATAACCAGACGCGATTCCGGCCAATGGCGACACTCGGAATTCCGGGGCCAGCTCGAAGTCGAGTAATTGCCAAGCCTCGTTACCGGGAGCTCCCCGGGGATTCCCGAATTTTGAGTCCACTGAGAGGAGGATCAGGATGGACCCACCGAAGCGTCGACACCTGCAGGACGTTCTTCCGGATGTCGCCGGAGAGACGGATCCAGGAATTGGACGATTCGTGTCAGCGGCTCCTCGTTATTGCAGAATTCTGAACCCTCCTGGCTCTCCAGTCGTCGGTCAATTTGAGGCCACCTTTAGATGTAAAGTCGAAATTTTGGATGGATCAATCCATCCTATCCGACGAATTAATTAGAGTTCGCCGAATTGTTTTCATGAAAAACTCGAAGCAAGGAATGAAAATGTCGGAACGTTAGGGGATGAAGAGTAGATCTAGACTAGTAAGGATTTCAGTCTAGAGAGTAACCGTTCCTCCAGAAGCAGGAAATGAGAAACTAGGAACTACAATTCCTGCTCCCAAACGATGAAGATGTCGGATCATCGGAAGACGAAGAAAGGACCTGCTCATGAACCAGCAATGATCCCAGTGCAGAATGTAATTGTCCCTTTGGAAGGAGACCGAACATTAGAAACTAGCGCTTGCTGCCTCACTCTGCGTAGTTCTCCTTCTTATGAAAAATCCGAAGCAGGAAGTCGAGATGTTGGGATGACCCGGAACGTCGAACCCGTCGAGGGTCAAGATGGACCTTCGGAGTCGTCGAGCATCTGCAGGACGATCATTCGGATGTCATCGGAAAAATCGATCCAGGAATTGAACGGTTCCTCGTTACCGCGAAATTCGGGAATCGAGATTCAGGATCCTCCTGGTTCCTTTAGAACTTTCGGCCCACTCGCGACCACTCTTACGCATTATGTCGAAGTTTTGGATGAATCAATCCGTCCTTCCGTCGCGGCGTCAGCTCCAGTTCACCGAGCAATATGCCTCGGAGAGCAACGTCGATGGAAATTACCGCGGTCAGTAGACGTCGGCTCAATTACTGGCCGGCTCATGCCGAGTAATTGGCACGGTATACCGACCAAACTTGGAGCCCGGTAATCAGAATTCTGCGCGGATTAAATTTGTCTCGCGTTCCTCCAAGCGATGTCGCGGGATTCCCTCGCTTCTGTCGGTCTTGCCTCCGCGCTTCCTCACTTTTGTCTCGGGCTTCTCTGCGTTGGCATTCCTCCAGACTCCGGTGTTTACCTGGAAATTCAATTTGACTTGGAATCAAAGCGATCCCCGAGTTACTTACGTCGCCGAAAGTGCTCCGTTTGCCGTCAAATTTCCGGCCGGTGCGACATCTCTCGACCGCGATCGTTCCGATTTCTTCCGACGAAGTCCTGGTCGTCCCAGGTGTCGGCTCTTCAGGGTTGCAACCCGGAAGACGGTCCTCCTAAATAATGCGCAGGTTTCGTCGTTACCGCGGAAATTCAAATCTGACGTAGAATCCAGGAATTGCATTACCAAAAGTGATCCACCTGACGTTACATCTAGAATCGGTGAGAGAACTCTCGACCACGGTCGTGAAGATTCGCGGCTCAAATTTTCGACTTTTCTCGTTGAAGTTTTAGCCATCTATTGGAAAGGTCATCGATTCTTCAGGGTTGCAGCTCATCCCGCAATCGAAGTTTGATTTTCATTCCTATTTCATTTTTTTTCAAGCATCGTTCTTCCTTGCCTCCACCTTGGATCCTCTCTCAAGTTTACCTCTGCGATTTTTCGTTATTCGACTTAAGTCATATGTACATTTCCCATGCACTATTATTGTTACATTATTTATCTTAATTACTTACATTGTCATATATATTAGGTTGAGGAATTAACTCCTCAGCCTAATACGTGGTCGTCACGTAAGATCTTCGACCAGCGTGACAAGTCTTGACTGTCCTATTTCTTTCGGCAATGGTGATTATCCGCGGGGAAAATTCTCGTCGCCTCGATTATCAGTTTTCCGAGGTTGTACTTTGCCCAACTATCGAGGGAAAAGGAGGAAGATGGTATGTCCCGATTTAATTCATCTTCTTCGTCTTCGGTTCCACCCTGGCACCTACCCCCGCGGCGTCTCTCCGGAACGCGGCGTAGACTTTGCCGTTTACGTGGAAATTCAATTTGACGTGGAATCAAAGTGATCCGAGAGTTACTTACCCTCCCTGAGAGTGCTCCGTTTGCTCTGGGCCCGCAACTACCGAGACAACATTCCTGCGGTCGTAGTTACCGGAGATGGCTTTGACCTAAGAAGTTGGGCCAGGATCGACTCGACCGACAATAATCGATTCCATCGAGTAGGAACTCGCCAGATCGGCAGGACCGATCCCTCGATCTTCCCTCCTGCTCGATCGTTCACCAGGAAATTCATTTCCCATTGCTTGGCTGGGAAAAGTGTACTTCCTAGATGGAGTACCCATGGCTGCGACTGAAAATTTCCGTCCCCTCTTTTCCCGTAATTTCCCGGCTCGTTGATCGGATCGGTGGGATCGAAAATCCCCGACGCGTCCGGTGGTCCGGATGTACTCCACGATATGGTAATTCTTAGCGACAGGATCGATTCGGGCCGATCGATCAGGAACCCTACCTGGCGGTTTTATCGGATCGACACCGAGATAGGGATCCGGATATTGCGAGACCGTGGTAATCACGTCCGGTCGAGTTCTTCCTGGTTCGTCATCTCCCGATTCGTCGGATGTCGGGAAATCTGGCCAACCCAGGGTCACGACGTGTCGTTGCTTTGTTACTCTTCTATTTTCCAATTTTTATTATATTAACAAAACGGCAGGATACGGGAACGGTCCAGTACTTTCTCTATTTCTCACTTGGTCCTATACGCGGCTGGGAGTCATGGCCGCCTATCGAGAGAAACTCGACCCTGACCCGTTTAACAATTTTTCTGGTCCATCAACCTGATCCCTGGTGTCCTTCAGGGTAGCCTTCTTCGGGAGAGTTTTCTCCAGGATTTCTTGATAGACCCTCGTCATTGGAATTTTCTTACGAAAGCTTCCTGTAAGTCTCGTTCCTCGGGGAGCAGAGGCGCGTCTGATTTTTGTAGCTGTTCTGTATTCCACCTCCGGCTCTTTGGGAATTGGGACTTCCGAACTGATTGTGAGCCTTCGTTAAGGAGTTTGTTCCCGGAACGAACTCTGTGCAAACGATCGCTCCTCGTCAGCATTCGCGGGTTCCAGGAGGGGAAAAATAATGGAGGTCACAAGCAAATGTTAATGGACGGCTAAACGAGGGCGGATCGAGTCTTCCAGCTCTTGTTTCCGACATAACAAAATCCGGAGTGCGAAATTCGCAGGTGCGCCGTGTCGGAAATTCGAGGCCGTCACCAGAAAGGGGACTTTCAATCTCGAGGAGTGCCCGGCGACGAGGCCGGCGAAAATGGGCGTAAACGGGCGGAAGTGGGCGAAAATGTGCGAAACCAGGCGGAACCGGGCGCGTTTTCCACGTTGCCGCGTAAACTTTCCGAGCGGTTGGTCCTGCCAAAGGGAAAGGGGTTTTCCGGGAGGGGAATTCACAATTTAACGTTTCGCCCGATGAACCCTGTCGGATCATATCCTTTTCGGCTTTCAGAGACGTTCTGCGCCAACATGGCGGACGGCCGACCCTGGGGGACCCTCGACTCCCGCAGGATCTACGGAATGGACCTGGGCCCCGAATTCGACGACTTGTCGACGACGAACGTCACCTTCCTGGCAGGCAGGACGGCTTACCTCACCTGCAGGGTCAGGAACCTGGGCAACAGGACGGTAAGGACCTCTTTATCCCCTCGAGTCCCTATAATGACGATGAGAAACCACGTATGCGAACGCGCGTGCACTTGGTGCGGAACTCAGTCGGGTTTCCTGGTACTTCGGTCCCGATTCTCGATTTCTTATGGATTTCTTTCGCAAATAGATTCGTATGAAAAATGTGCCATTGTTGCGAAGTCGCATTATTAGTCAACATTTGAAAGTCGCATGCGAAACTGTCAAATTCGCGTGCGAAAGTTGATTGTATGAACTCAAGAATCGGGTTCCTGCGCCCATATTCTCGAGATCGTATACATTTTTTTCCGCATATAAATAGATTCGCAGTAAAAATTTGGCATTGTTGCGAAGACGCGTCATTGATGAACATTTGAAAGTCGTTTCCAAAACAGTCAATTTCGCATGCAAAAGTTGATCGGATGAACTCGATAATCGGGTACCTGGGTCTCGGTTCCTGAGTTCATACGTATTTTTTCCACATGCGAATAGATTCGCATGAAAAATTTGGCACTGTTGCGAAGACGCGTCATTGATGAAAAATTGAAAGTCATTTCCAAAACAGTTAATTTCGCATGCAAAAGTTGGTCGGATGAACTCGATAATCGGGTACCTGGGTCTCGGTTCCTGAGTTCATACGTATTTTTTCCACATGCGAATAGATTCGCATGAAAAATTTGGCACTGTTGCGAAGACGCGTCATTGATGAACAATTGAAAGTCATTTCCAAAACAGTCAATTTCGCATGCAAAAGTTGATCGGATGAACTCGAGAATCGGGTCCCTGGAGAACGCGCGAATAATCGGAAAAATCGAGGAGGAGAGATGGAGCCCTGAAAACAGGTCTAGATATATACCGAAGGGTCTTCTTCGGGGCATCGGTTCTCCCGGTGAAATGCGAGCAGAGGAGAGGCCTGCCTCCGTGTTCGATAGCGCAGCCTCCGGATCTCCCGGGGAAATAATCACCCTCAGATAACCCTTGCTAACACCTCGACAAAACCTCCCACTGCGTCCGTCTTCGCCTTCGGTTTATCCGGGCTCGGATTCGCCAAGAGGACCCATCGAGACGCGCGAATAAAGCCATTTTCACGGTGACCAGACATTAGCCTTCGTTGAATATTCATGGCCGAAGCGTCGAGTTGGGACACCTTCGGCGTCCTCTCGTCACCTCTTCTCGCGGTCTGCATTTCCGATTCGACCTGCTAAGGGTGGCACGACCTCGGGGGAATCCTCTCCACCCCTTCGACCCTTTCGACCCTTTCGACTCGTCGATTTCGAGGGGATACAAAGCAAACGCGCTCGAGGAGTCACGAGGTCACTTCGAAATTGAACGAACCAAGAGACCTCTTACCTAAGAAATTGCTTGGACGTACGTACAGGAGAAAATTGTTGAATTTCAGTGAGAGTTCGTATACACGTATTTTTAATACAAAATGGAATAATGAAATAGGATAAGAATCGAAGCGCAAGCCACCGACATAAATTCCATAGAATGTGAAAATAGAATTTATATATGTATCTTTTATACAAAGGGAAATGATAAGGGATGACAATTAAGGAACAAAGAACTCTTGAACTTAAGAAATTCCCCGAGATGTATATGCAGGGGTAAATTTTGGAATTTCAAATAGAAATGTGTATTCACATACATGGATCTTTAAGGTAAAGGGGGGTGATAAGGGATGATAACGATCGAACCATGGCCACCCTCCAGAAATTGCGAGGGACAGGTGCGAATTGCTCAGTTTCACGATAAAGTATATACGTTTGTACATCTTTTTCATTTATATACAGGGGAATGATAAAGGACGATAACGGGTGATATTTCCTGGGTTGGAGAAAGCCGCTAGACCACGCGGTTAATTTAGGTAATGGCATCCCGAGGTGTCGGTGCCGCCCCCCGGAAAGGTAGCTATCGCCGGAAAATACGCAGATCCCGATAAGGAAATTTCGGCTTGTAAATCCTTCGGAAATCCTGGAGGCACGGGGGTGGTTCGCGAGGGCTGCTCGCGGGGTGTTTATCTACGGGATGCGCCCCAGTCGAGGGAGGTTGCCCCCCGCGGGCGCCTTATCTCCTATCGGAGATTCCCGGAGTTCGGCCCCCGGTTGGCCCCGAGCCAAAATGGTAATGCAACCCCTGCAGCTCGTCGGCCCAGAGCCGAATCACATTTACCCTCCCGTATTCACTTTTCGCTCTCGCTACCGGCTTCTCCTTCCGCGGCTAAGTCCGAAAGGGTGGGAGGCAGATGAATGCCGAGGAAAGAGGGCGCGTTTTTTGCCGACCCTCCGGCTACGGCCGCGAGACAAAGAGGGGAGAAGCCGCCCCTGATTAGGGAGGTTTTCCACCGTTCGCCAGGATTGCGCACCAAGAAAGAGGGAGGGAAGTACTTTCTGCCCGCAGACCTTAAATAATCATTGAACTCGCCAGAAATGCCCGGAAAGAGCGAGGGAGGAAACTACCCTTCCTCTCCTTCTCTCATCTCTTTATTAATGAAATCTCACCGAGGGGTGTTTCTCGAAAATTATCACCCCTTTAAGGGGAACGAATTTTAATCGAGGTGGGTTTAAATGGGAATTAACATAGAAAGCATTTCCTGACTTGACGTTTTATCGGGAATTTAAGTTAGAGGAGATTTAAATTATTGCAAAATGGCGAGTTGAGGAAGACTCGGAAGTTTCTGACTTCCTTTTAACTGGGTACATGATTCTAGGAAAACGGTAGGGTTGAAACAGAATGTTTACGTGGATTCTGAAACTGGGAAGAATTATTTAGGAACCTATGGCACGTATCTTTGACAAAAATGTTTTATCGAAAGATATGAACGGAGTATAAAGAGCAGCGAACAAGTGATTTTTAATGGCTTTATTTTGTATTGTAATCTGAATTTTCTTATTAAAAAAACCATGTTGTCGGTTCTTAAATGACCTATTCAAGCTCCTGAAGCCACATTAACTCTCTTATTCCGGATATACTCTGAAGTTATGTGCATTGTGGCGGAAAATCAGAAATTTCTATCCCTCACAAGTCCGCCATTTTGAAAAGAGTATAATCTCCTTCACCTTAAATTTCCCCCCGAAACACTAAAAAATCCTCCCTAAACCGTCCTCGGAGGCCAACGTATATTTTCTAAATCATTTCATTCCCTCTTAAACTCACATCGATTGAAGCGCATTTTCCAATTAACCCCCATAAAAGGAAGTCCCTCATCAATATCTGGAAGAAGGTAATTCCCCTGGAACCAGATACGAATGGAGCCAAATGGCATCACCAGGGATCAAATAACACATTATTGACGAATCAAGCAATTCCTCGAGGTGGCAAAATTCCATATGGGGTGCGAAAAGGGGCCATATCGGGCACCCTGCGGGATTTCCGGGATTTTCAGGGGGACGTTCGGGCAGGTCCGGGGCAGGCCTGAATCGAAGTGCCAGGCATGCGCGGGAATAATTCGGGGAATGTCCTGGGGCCGAAGCTCGTCGGGGCACCAAAGTGGCACGCGAAGCATGGGAATTTAATTTCAACGGGGTCCGAGGTGGCGGGGCCACATCAAGGGGTGTCGCCGTAAATTACACCCCAGGACGATACGCGGGGGTCGAGGGTGTCCTGACATATGTACGACGTCGGATCCAAAGCTGGGGACCATCGATCCCAAAGAGTCCACATCGGGGACCGAAAGGGAGGCTTTTTGTGCCCTGGCTTTAAGGGGTTCTTCCCCCCACGTCCCGATAACTCGAGCAAGGCCGCCTGAAACCTGGATTAAAGGATGAATTTAATTTTTCTGGGGTCCCGGTTAACGAGGTCACCCCAGGGGGTGCCTCGGCGAGGGCGGATCATCGAGGAAGAACGGAATCGTCGAAAAGACGTATCTCTTAGGGGAGGGCTCGACTCACCCCTAGGAACTTTTCAAGACAAAATCCGGGGGTGAACTCGCCCCCGAGTCAGCCCTAGGATGACTCGACGCCGTATATATTATCCACCTGAGTGCTGGCAGATGTATCTTGGCAGCATACCAAAGCTCTAATGTTATCCGGGAACGTTGGAATCAGGGGCAAGCCAAACTCCAGGGGCGACGGGGTGGGCTGGGGAAAAGGCTCGCGGGGGGTCCCGAATATCGCGGAATTATCGTTATTCCAGGATTTAGTGCCCCCGAGGACGGCGCCAGACAGATACGTGTCGCGTCACCGAGACTCCGCGTCTATTTGTACGCGTCGAGAGGGAATGCGAGGTTTTACCATATTTCTATCGTAAATTACCGAGCAGGCACCGATTTACTGAAAAATCCCCCGTAAATCGCGAACCGTTTACGCGGGAGCTCCCTTCATGTCGGGTTATTAGATTGTCTAAAATGTTATTGCGATTTGTGCCGCTTGAGTTTCGCTGCTTTGTTTTCAAATTGTAGGTGGCTTTCATGTGTGACAATATGTACCATTTTAGAGCGCGATTTTTGTTTGAAGTGCCGATAATACGAACAGTGTTTTAAGTATTCACTCCTGGTTTATTTCGACTTCATTAAGGGTAGAAGAGAAGCAAGTTCGGCAGATTTTCTTGTATGTATATACATATGTATATGTACGTATATATATATACGTATATGTAATGGACCGTAAGAAAGCAATACTGGCGCGCATTATCAATGATGTATTCGGCCCATAAATCGCTCAAGTATGGACAGTGTAATGGTAGCTTCAAAAGATACGCAACGGAGATGAGAGCTTCGAAGATCAAAATAGTTCTGAACGACCTGTAGTCATTATCCCAACGAATAGAGAAAATTAATGTTAAAAACACAATTATTGTTATCACTACGTAAAGAGTGCGCTTAAAATGCTGTATAACATATGGACGTAGAAATGAAACAACTTTATTTGAAAAAAAAAGCGTGCAATTTTTTACATCAAAAACAGCAATATCTTTGTGGAACTCCAAAAATCGCCTGTACCGATGAAACCTCAGGGTCGTCTTCGAGTACCGTGAGGAATCAATTGATCGGAAAATGACAAAATGGGAGGGGGGAGGGTTCGTTTCTTCGTAGGATGATTTCTTTTTTCGATTCTTCCCGAGTCCTTGTCAGAAACTTTTCTCATACCGAAGTCCACGTGGAGGTCTGCAGGGCGAAGACATCCAGGGCGGATGGGGAGCTCTTGAGGGTGGAGGCGAGTCTTCTGGGGGTGAAATCTCGAAAAGTTGGGGGCAGGTCGCTTTTCCTCTAATTTCCTGGGGCGTCTCGAGTGCGGGGAGTAGTGGAATCTACATTTCTCAGGTGTCCTGGATGAGGCACAGGGACGTGCACATCCTGACCGTTGGGGCCTACACCTACACCAGCGACCAGAGGTTCCAATCGCTGCATCGGGTCTCCCAGGAATGGTCCGAATGGACTTTGTGTGTCAAATGGGTGCAGCGAAGGGACTCCGGGATCTACGAGTGCCAAATCTCGACCATCCCGGTGCGATCTCACACCTTCCGGTTGACCGTCATCGGTTGGTACCAATTACGTGATTAGAGACAATTAATGCAGTACTCTCAAGATATTTAAGGTGATATAAATGGGCCATTTTATATATCAGAACGTCGAAATATTTACAATCGGTTGGTACCAATTACGCGATTAGAGGCAATTAATGTAGTACTCTCAAGATATTTAAAGTGATATGAAAGGGTTATTTTATATATCGAAACGTCAAACGTTCATTTTGATATCGCGTTACATATTTCATGTTGACGTGTTTCGATGTTAATAGGATTAGGGGTAGTTTTATTGGCTTTAATCATTCTTTCGCTCGTTCAAGTCCCCACGGCTCGGATCTTGAACGGACCGGACCTCTACGTGGACGCGGGGAGTCCGGTCAACCTGACCTGCGTCATCGGCTTCATCAGCGAGCCGCCGGTGCGCATCTCCTGGTACTACAACGGGCAGGTGAGAAAACGCCGGAAGAAGTTAGCGAGCAACTTGTCGGAGGGGTTTATCCGCCATTGTGGCCCCGCGGGATGAACAAGTTGCCTCGACGAGCCTCGGCAGGACGAGTTCCTGGCGAAGGGATGGCCTCGTTACTTCGTATTCGTCCTGTCGAGTCGCAACGAAAACTCGACCCCCTTCTAAGGCGATCCCGACGTGACGAAAACCCCTAATGAGTCCTGTCGAGTCTCGTAAACTTTGGCTTTTTTCCGACTACTTAGCCGGCCTTCGTTTCGACCATGACGGAGGGTCTGATGGGTTCCTTTCCGTCATCGGACTCCAAATTTGCAAATTTGGACAATGTAGAATATGTATGTCTCTCGCAAAGATCCAGAAATGGACCCGATTGCCTTTCCAGCCTCCTGGAAGAAGAAGAGTGTCCGTCGAAAAAGATTTCCACGAGTTTTCAAAAGTGACAAAATGGCATTTGAAACTTCAGCCTGATCTTCCTTGTGGTCGACATCCTAATTTTCAGTTCCACGTTTCGGTATAACAAAATCATTCGTCGAGAGACGTGTTCTATGTACTATTGCGGTACAGGTGAAAATTTGAGCCCTGATTTTTTACGTTGATTTCCATCGTGACTGCTTAAATTTATTCAGCAGAAAAGTTTTATCGACTAGGAAGAGTGACGTTAGAATTAATTTTCTTTACTTCAAGATTCCGAAAATGGGTTTAAGAATAAACGGAATCTAATCGACGGATTTGGTGTCGGGTAACAGAGAACCTTGGATGTAGTTCTCGTCGGTGATGAATTGGAGAACGTCCTCTTCACCATTGAGGATGCTGAAGAAGAGATCCGACGATGATAGGAATTCGATTATCAATTCTCGTGAATCTCGTTATCGATGACTATAATAGACTCGTTCCTTCAACGTTTGACGGGAATTCCGCAGCTAGGAGACTTTAAAAGGACTCTTTCGACCGCAGGAATTGAAGCTGAAGTACAACGGGCACAGCGGCAAATCGATCGAGGCGCAAATCACAAACGACACGACTATCTCGATCCTAGTGATAAGACCTGCAAGGAGACAGGATTCAGGAGAGTTCACCTGCAAGCCCAGCGATGCCGAAGGTGCCACCGTTCGCGTGCACGTTCTGAACGGTGAGCTTCACTGAGCAACAAAATTTCGGTTTTCGAAGGATTCCCTGACTACTTGACATGTGGAGGATATTCCCGAGGTAGGATCTTCGGAACAGGTCCTTTTCATCGCGTTTGTTCCAGGCGAGCAACCGGAAGCGATGCAAACAGGCGACGCCAATGCGGTCTTCGGGTTCTGGTCGTGGTTCCTTCTGGTGTTGTCCGGGTGGTCGATCCTGAAGAAGAGCTCCTCCACGTTCTAGCAAATCGAAAATAGTTTCTTCCAGACTCTCGCGTGAATCCGACGGACTTTCGACCTTCTCTCGCGGAAGTGTGACTATTATCGGTTCTTTTTTTTTTCTACCTTGAGTAAACGAGTAACACCGGAGAGGTCGTTCTCTTACTTCTCCCGAATCCACTTCCCTTGATATTTGGCATTGCAGTTAATTTCTAGGGTAAGGGTTTTCATCTAGAGCTCGGGGTCGAAATGTCGGTTCGTCAGCCTTTGAGGGGGTGGGCCGGTTTGTCTTCCTCTCCAGGAAGACAGGATCTCGTTCGGGGTGGATGTTCGGGGTCTCTTGGCGTTCCGCAGGGGGCACCGTGCGGGGACTCCAAGGGAAGCTTTACGGTTAGCGACTTCAAAAGGCTCCAGGAAGAAGTCCTTTATAAATTCCATTAATGCCCGAGCCCTCCGAGGCAGCCACCTCCTCCGTGAATTCGGAACACCTCAGACTTTAATTATCCACCGAGCCCCGGAGGCCTCCTGCGACATCGACCGTAAGTAAGTGGGACTGTCAAACTGAACTCGCGTGCACCGAGGGACGACTTCGGGCCAGAAGTAAGACCACGGACAAGGGGACCCTCCGAAACCCATAAAGAAAGATCCCCGACATCTTTTTACTCGATTTCCCTTCTAAAAATCCACATCCGCGGGCAAGGCCGGGCGACTCGTAATTCACTTTCCACCGTGGATACAAAATGGCCCGCGAAAGGAAAAAGAAACGGAGAAAGAACCCGGGAAGTGGAGGTGCATCAGCTCCACAGATTGCACCGATCAATCTTCCATTAGGCTTATTATATCCGCAATTTTCTTCCGCGAGAAAACCGGCCGGTGGAGAACGGGCTTTCTCGAGGAAGCGGTTCTTTTAATGCCGCCCATCGACGCTGATCGACTCGTTCGAGGGATAAGTAGGGTAGTTCGGAAATTAATACTCCATCCGGTGGAACTGTCGTCGATTCGTGAAGTGTCCAATTTGTCGAACTCTGCAGTATTCGTGCAGCACCTGAGTTGACCAACTCTGGGACCTCGACTTCTGGGAGTGATCTCTTCGGGACACTGCAGCCTCTCTGGTCCATCCCACAGTTTCTGGGCAAATGGAGTGATTCCCAAATTGCCACTTTACTTGTCAGGTTATCGGAACTCTCTGGGATATTCGATACGAGGACTTCTCAATAAGAACTTTATCCGATTCTTGAACCTCGTATTCATGGATGGATCTCTTCGCGACGTCGCAGCCTCTTTGGTCCATCCTCTAGATAGTTTCCGGTCGAATAAAGTGAGTTCTAAGTTGCCACTTTTCTTGTCAGGTTATCGGAACCCTGTGGGATGTTCGATACAGGGATTTCTAAATAAGAACCTTATTAAATTCTTCAACCTCGAATTCATGGATGGATCTGTTCGCAACGCTGCAGCCTCTTTGGTCCATCCTCTAGATAGTTTCTGGATAAATGGAGTGATTTCTAAATTGTCACTTTACTCGTCAGGTTGCCCTAACCCTCTGAGGTGTTTAGTACAAGGACTTATCAATAAGAACCTTATCCAATTCTCGAACCTCGAATTTAAATATGGATCTTTTCGCGACGTCGCGGACTCTCTGGTCCATTCTCCAGTTTATGAACGAATAAAATGATTTCCAAAATGTCACTTTCCTCGTCAGGCTATTCTAATTCTCTGGGGTGTTCAATGCAAGAACTTCCCTGAGGAGAACCTCAATCAATTCTGGAATCTCGAATTGAAGAATCTTCTCGAGACGTTGCAGCTTCTTCGGTCCATCCACCAGTTACTGAAGAAGTAGAGCGATTTCCAAATTGCCACATTATCTGTTAGATTATTTTTACCCTGTGGAGTACTGAGTACCCTTATATTCCTTAATCTTCGTTACAAATATGACGAATTTTGGAACCTCGAATTCGAGGATTGAAAACCTCGCAACGTTGTTGCCTCTCCAGTCCATCTTCCAGTTTCAGGACAAATAGAGTGATTCCCAAATTGCCACTTTACGTGGCCTGGTTATCCTCCTCTCTCGGTGTTATCTCTACCTTCTCCAGTGTTCAATTTAGGGGGTCCTCGTTAACTCGTCGATACTCAGGGCCACACACTCGAAGGGGACACCGGAGGAGACGGAGGCCAGGAGAGCCCGAGAGAGGAGAAAACCACCCAAAGGAAAGGACTCGTTACCTCAAAGGTCGACGCTTTAATTACGTCACTGTAATTGAGGCTTTCGGTCAGGATGGGAACTCCTCCACCCCGTGAAATGGCTCGCCTTCTTTCCGAGCCGCACTTCCGGCTGCATAAATATTTACGCCTTCGAGTCTTAATCGATCCCTCGGATTGAATCGGCGGTGGCGCGACTTCGGGAAAAGTGAAAAGCGAGTGGTTCCTCGGGTCACCGGGTTCACCAGGACTCGCCTTGCCGAACTTTCGAACTCCTCGACTCCAAGACATCTACTTCCTCTTTTGATCCCCTTTTCTTTCAGAATCGAAATTTGAGCTCTACTTTGAACCTGTAGCCTAAGTACGCCCTCATTTGATCCTATTTTACTCTTTAAGGGGACTTGAAAATGGTATCTGGGGGGTCAATCGTTCGTGACACTTTTTTCCCAACTGGGTGAACCGAATTGTTTCAAACTTAACAACGAAAATACGGAAGCCACAAGGAAAGTCCTGACATCCATGAAATTAGAATTTTTTTAAAATTTGCTTATAGATATTTTAAACATTTTTTACAAGGCATGACATTTTATGGGGGGTCACAGGTCAGAGCTTTCCTTATAGCCTTCATGTTCACGTTGTTACGTTTAAAACAATTCGGCATGCCTAGTTTGCAGAAATGTTTTATGAACGATTGCACTATCACATTTCCTTAAAGAATGTAATTAGAGGTTCCAAGAAGGATAAAAATTTCAACTCGGATCCTTCGGAAAATTTCACCGTGACTTACGGGTTGTTTCTGTGATCAATAAATATGGAAAATTTTATAATTATCACGTTGACGATTGAAATTTGCAATTAGTCCAGAGTTGCATCCGCTTCCTCTACCGCGGTGTCCCACGCATCTCCGAGGAACGAACGACCACGTAGAAACCGGAAGTGCATACACGTCCTTCCGTAAACAGACCTTTATTTATCACATCCCTTTCCTTCCGGCTCGCTAGCGCGTGTCCTCCGGGAGCAAACTCGAGATCAAATAGCGTTTGAGGAAAACTGGCGCGAATCGAGTTCTAGACCCGTGTTTGCTTGGACCGGGCAGAAGTGCTTTGACGAAACGTCGTGGTTCGTCGCTCGACGCCGCGAAAGGAAAGACAAGCCGAGACGAGAATTAAAAGGAAAGAACAATAGCGCTTGCCGCCATTTGTTTTAGAGAACCGCGAAGAGGTAGAAAAGATTGGCGATTCCCTCGAAAATGGGGCGAAAATTTTACGGGGGGGTATTTTCTCCTCGTATCAGGTTTAAGGGGGCATAAAGCACCGCGTTACGGTATATCAAAAGATCAATGGGCTCGAAAATAGTTCGAAGCGAGCAATTGGTGCGTATAAAGTCTGGCCTGATTAAACCGCGACAATTTCGGGGGCGTCCCTTGTCACGGGGCAAAAATCGAGAGCTCGGAATCGAGGAAAACGGCGGGAATCAGGGCCGAAATTTTCCGCTGGATCCATTTAACCGGTCATTTCCATTGGAGCGACCAATTACGCGGACCTCTACGCCAGAAACTACCACTCATATGCGCGTCTGGCGCAGATATGCTATAACGCTGTATCGAATTTTAGGTTCGGCCTGATAATGAATTGTTTCTGGCCCGTAACAGTTCGCCGTCCTTCGGTGTATTGCGAGGCGCGAAATATTGCATTAACGGAGACACTCTCGACAATGGAATTCAATCTAGGGCGAGATAATTGCGAAACGGGCTGGTTTTAACGAGATGTATTTAACAAATATAATACAAACGTGCGGGGGTCGCGGTGTAACGAGATCGGTGTTGCGCCGGCAGCATTACTCTGGTCGTTCGCCTTAGTAGGGTCCGTATCCATGTTCGTGACCATGGCCTTGTCCATGGTGACCCTGGCCACCGTAAGTTCCTCCGGAATGGTCGTTCCCGCCGGAGTTATGGACGAACGCGAAAAATCCGCCGTGGGGATCCGCGTGGTACTTCACGGTCCTCACGTTTCCTCCAGGCTCCTTCAAGGTGTACTCGCCGGCCACGTTTTTACCTGAAGAAAGAAAAGTATGGGTACAATCTCCTTCGAGCGGCTTGGAAGTGAAACTACTACTTTTACTTTTATATCATTTTAAACGTAAGATGATTCACTGAGGAAATAACGCATCGGCATTTACGATAACGTTTACTGTCTCGATACTACCCACAATGATAAAAAATGGTAATTAACTGTAAAAGAAATCAAGCTAAATGAGTGTTTCACTTTTAGTTTCGCTCTTGTTTCTTGACGCGCTGTTACCCTGTCGTGGAATAAGTTTCGCTTCAAAGTAATTGAGGATGCAATCCTTTCATGCGCCTTAGAAGTGAAACTACTACTTCTACTTTTAATTCATTTTAAACGTAAGATGATTCACTGAGAAAATAACGCATCGGCATTTACGATAACGTTTACTGTCTCGATACTACCCACAATGATCAAAAATGGTAATTAACTGTAAAAGAAATCAAGCCAAATGAGTGTTTCACTTTTCGTTTCGCTCTCATTTCTTGTCGCGTGCAGGTGTATTGCAGTGAAATAAGTTTCGCTTCAAACTAATTGAGGATTTAGACATTTCTGAGAGTATGTGAGTGACTTGGTAAGATTGGAGGTGGAGGTGATCATTATTTACCGTCTCGGTGCTCCTTTTGACCATGATAATCCCCGGTGTGGTGATCCTCCACGCCGTACGAGAACTCATACTTCGGATGGGCCACGTAGTCCACGTGGTGACCATGGTGGTCGTGGATTTTTACCTCGTGGCCAGGACCCTCCACCGGTCCATGGAAATGGGCGAAGCTGTGGGCATGTCCTGCCGAAGCAGCCTCGAAGGACGCCACCGCAACCACGAGCACAATAGTTCCTAACTGAGGAGCAAAAATGGTACAAATCACATTAAATTACTCGAAATAACCCAAAATTAAACGCGGGGTAAATAACGATCTCAAAAATCTCGGAAATGGAAAAGGAAATAGACCCGTCTTCGAGATTTGTCCGCGAATTCAACCGCTGACGTCTTTCAACTCATAAAAAAGTGAAGTCAAATGCGAATTTCCAGTTTTCGATCCGCCATCTTTAATAAATTAAAATGTATGTACGTAATAACCACGACATTGGAACGACGCGATCATGTACACCATAATTATGTCGAATACTTTTAAGGTTTAAATTTCGTCCCGTCGATGAACTCAACCCACTGCTTTAAAAAATGGTTTGTCTTTTAATGAGTATCGGTAAAGAAACAGTAAAAATCCTGATACTCTAATTTCTCAACCTTAATTTATTTACTCGAATAGATGTATTCCCTCTTGTCTAAAATATTTGCAGAGGTGTACGGCAACAATGTGACGTCTTTTATGGCATAACAACACTTGCAAAACAATTATATTCAGAAATTACTGAAATTGTCAAAACAGCGACGATTTGCGAGGTAAAATGGCGGAGTTCTCTCTTCCTAAGCTTCACTTCTGGACCGTAGTTAGCGATCTATGGGTCTATGGATAGAAATCCCTGGATCTGTACGAACCTTGAAGATCATGGTTCCTGCAGGTCGAGCTCTCGAAAACGTGAGTGATACACCAGGCGTTTCGCCGTAGCGTTTTATACCAAGTGGCGACATTGTGTTTTGTCCGAGTGTCGCCATTACGTCGTTATTTAACACCATGTAGATAGTATAACTATATTCGGGATGGCAAAAAGGTCGGCGGGCCGATCGCTTTCCTATGCACATAAGTGTCGCATTCCGTCGGGTGGGGATCACGTAACAGGGATAAATAATCGGGCCCACGCACAATGGCGAGCTTGAAAACCTCCTGGGTAAAAAACCTCTTTCAGGACTGTTCTCAAAAAAAGCCTTCTTACGAGACCGCCTGGCAAAAGCGCGGCTTCGAGAACGGAAACGACGATCGAGACCACCGCGAAGAAATTTGCGGAAGGTCGTCGATCATCGGGATCGAATTAATTTTTTAATCGCTCGCTCTGACAGATGGATTATTAATTGGTCATGATTGTGACACGCTATCAACGATCCATTTAGGTAATCCGTGAAGAATTTAATCACTTTATTTGCGGAAGCGAATAAAAACGGAACGGAAATGAATAAAAATCGAACAGCGGCATAATGGCACGACTGTTCGCGCTTTTTAGGGAGGATTTTTAGTTTCCAGCAGATATTCGCCGAAATTAATATTTTCGGAATGGCGATGACTTATGGATTGGATTTTACGAAATCGTCTGAAAAGAACGAGGATTCGGAAACGAAAATGACGATCGAGACCACCGCGAAGAAATTTGCGGAAGGTCGTCGATCATCGGGATCGAATTGATTTTTTAATCGCTCGCTCTGGCAGGTGGATTATTAATTGGTCATGATCATGACACGCTATTAACGATCCATTTAGGTAATCCGTGAAGAATTTAATCACTTTATTTGCGGAAACGAATAAAAACGGAACGGAAATGAATAAAAATTGAACATCGGCACAACGGCACGACGTTTTGCGCTTTTTGTAGACATCCGAAATGGTGATCAGTCTGACTCGTGATATTCATGTACTCAATTCTCAAAGCATGGCAAGGGGTAAATTGTATTTTCGGAATAACTTGGACAGAAGCGCTGTTTGCGACTACTATGAAGAATCTCACTGAGGATCGTCGATCATCGGTATCGAATTAATTTTTTAATCGCCCTCGAGATACGTCGCGACCAATTTGCTTGTCAAAATGGACCTCGCTAGGTCGGGGAATTTCGATCGCAATTAATGCATCGAGACTCCGGGAACGCGGCAAGACACCCTGAGTAAACCCACCCCGAAGAGCGCCGCCGGGGCTGGTTTTTGCCTTCGCGAAGAAGCTATCGATCCCGGCTCGAGAGGAGCTTTGTTCTTGTGTACGGATGTTCCTTGTAGTCGTCGGAGCTTCCTGTTTGAGACCACAGCAGCTTACGAGCGTCGTAACTGGAGTAGAAATCACTTGGAAGGGACCGAGCAGTTTCCTTGACGAGGTAAGGCATTTTCCGACTTTCCTCGAGGGTCCGCGAAACTGGGAAACGACCTCCGGCGATGATATCTCTGCCTAAATACCTGGCAATTCTGAAGAAAAAAAAATGCAAGGAAATGTAGAAGAAAGAGTAAGCAAATTTCAGTACAAAGTAGGTACTACGAAATTGGCTCGCTCTTGTTCGGTCTCTGGTAGTATTCGTGTTTCCTGAAGAAGTCCACAAAATTGCAACACGTCCTTCGTATCGTTAATTCTTGTGCTTAAATGCTTGAGAATTCTGACAAAAAAAATGGAGATAAAGTTGAGAAATAGGAATGATTACATTTTAGGTTAATGCGTTACGAAGAAAGGAAATGTATTCTGTCTTTGTCGGATAAGTGACATTTTTTTTTGGTTCTCTTCAAGTCTCCACAAAACTGGGAAACGAACTTTAGCGATAATATTTGTACATAAATATCTGGAAATTAAAAAAAAATAATGAAATGGGAAAGAAAAAGTAAGCATGTTTAGTGCAAAGTAGGTACTACGAAATTCTAGGTCTTTCTTGGATAAGAGACATTTTTGCGGTTCTCTTCAAGAAGTCTCCACAAAATCTGGAAACGACTTCTTCGTCGAGTATAATTGCTACTTGATACCTGGAAATTTGGAAAATAAATACGGAAAAGGAGGAATAATTAGATCTGACCCAGGGTACCTTGAAATTGCGTCCCCTTGCCCAATCACTGATCTTACTCAATATTCAAGGATAACTTTCATACGCTCTCTCTGATGTTTCCAAACAATCGCTTCAGCTGATTTTAATACATTTCTCATTGCTCTCGAAATCGAAGGCCATGTGTGTGAAAGTTCCCTGAAAATTGCGGAAATTCCGTTGAATTTTCACAAGTAAACCTCAGCGGTGGGAAACGGAAGTCAATAGGAAATTCTGGACGATATAGATGCATTCGATTGATATCAAGTCTGGTTATCCATCTCAGTAAAAGCTGAAAGCCCATATTCACAGAATGATGAATCCGGTATCGAGTATTCGGAAAAAAAAGTTAGGGAACCGTTAATAAATATCGTAAAAGTCGACTTATCGGTCTCGTATCGGATTTTCAAAATATGGATTTCCCTTCCATCATTTCAACGGCATAGGGCACGTTTGCTGTGACAAAATCGTCGATCGTTATTCTCCATTTTGCGAGCAAAATCAGAAAATAGACTATTTCTTCTCGTAGCAAAAAATGTCGGACCAGTGAGAAATAATTTAAAAAACTGAGGCATATTCTTCTCGACATTCTCCAGGGGTATTTATTCTCCAAGCGAGGTATGAGTATCTCAGATTGAACTTCGACTACAATTTCCTGTCTGGAGTCAATGCGAATCGACGTTTCCATTTTCTTGCCGAGGATGCAAATCCTCCGAGATTGGCAGCAGCCGCTTTCGAAACCGCTACGTCGAAACTTCAGAATTCGATTCGATTACTGCTCATAGCGCGTAAGACGCCGTAACACCGATGCAAGATGTTCGGGGAGATTTAACACATCTGTGTCACTTGTCACTTGACATCCCGCGACGTGTTAACAAGATCTGCCGGCGTAATTCCGAGCAAATCGGTGTCCTTCCTCCGGTATCGCAATTTCCCTTTTTTTTTTTATTTAACGATGAAATTCCCGGGAATTCGCGCTTCTTGGTTCAACGAGAGGAGGGAAATCTGCATTGACACAAACGAGGCGGAGAAGGTTACGAAATCTCTCGCTGGGATTTAATTTCCTTCAATTAGCCGGCTCGTCGTTGAAGAGCTGGACCAGATAGGGAGGCTGCGCCGCTTGCTCCGATTATTTATTTTTTTTAAATAATCCGAAGGGGATAGAAAATAGTCACGTGGATCTAAATACCGTGGCTGTGCGTTTTCCTTGAAAAATAAGAAAAATGCTAAGAGGCTACGCTGTTAGAAAAATCTGTTAAAAATGTAGTATACATGAAGTCGATGATGTCTTAAAGTGCAATGTTTCGATTTTTCATTTACAATTGTACTATATACCGATGTTCGACCGCGTAAATATACACAAACGTACATATTTTGAGAAAGGCGCGTTTCACTTCAGTTATTAACACTTTTGTGACGTTTTTTTCTCATCTCCTGTTTTCTTAATTATTTTCAATACTTTGTCAGGAATTCTCATATGGAAATGGTATTCTTCGAAATGTAGTATTCATTTGCCCGGATTCAATTTCGAATGCCTTGTTTCTGGTTTTTAGTATACACTTTCATATGAAACCGTTCGAAATATGGGAACATTTTAAACAACGTAAAAAGAACCTGATGATTTCTGAGTCTCCGCATATAATTTTACGAATATTTGCAGTCCACGTCTCGCCGAGCTTTTTATAAAAAAATAATGCCAATTGGCAAGGGAAAAAATATTAAGTAATAAATAATGAAATAAAGATCAGCAGGCAATCTCGCGTCTGAAGGTGCAGTAGTTCCTCGAGCATGAAAACAAAGCGAGGTACTGTTTGCAGTCCGGAAACAATTTACGCTAATGCTTATTTTAGTCATTGTTCAGCCGGTGTAATATTTGTACAGTAAGCCGAGTTTTTAGGTCGTGAAATCGGCTGGTCGAAACGTTGAGTAAACCCGGCGCAGTAAACATGCTTCTTCGTTATCATCCATGCATGTTTGGGTTTTAATTTGTTTAGTAATGCCGGAGGGTTTCCGCATAGTGCATCGCGTGCGGCGGAATATTATTAACCGCCAGGAAAATTCGGAATCGGCGGAATTCCGAGTTGACAGGGAGATCCGTCACAGGGTAACGAGTAAGAATGAAAGACGAGCAGGTAAACCCACGTTACCACCTTTTCTTTATTAATACCGTTTACTTAGCTTATCACATTTAACGCTTTTTGCGACCCAGCGTCGCGGAATTACCTCTGACATCTAACCTCTATCGTAAGTCCGCATATATTGAGTATTCGTAATGTTTCTTTTTTTGCTGCATTTTACAGGACTTTTTTTCTGGAGTACTTCCTAGTGGACAATCAGTGCTTGTGTCCGCCATAGGTTCCTCCGGAATGGTCGTTACCACCATGGTTGTGCACCTCTGCGAAGAACCCACCATGAGGATCGGAATGGTACTTGACGGTCCTGACGTTACCGCCGGGCTCGTGGATGTGGTACTCCCCGGAGACGTCTTTTCCTGCAAATGGGTATAAATTAATACGAATTAATATAGACAGGTAAACGCGAGCTTTAAGGGGAAAACTCGACTGGGGGCAGAGATATAGTCTAGTTTTGAACACGAGTCGTATCGCTGGCCGAGTAGACTGGGCTCTTCCTGGCCCCCAATTAAGAGCAAGGTCGAGTTTCCAATTAGTCCCTGATACTAAGTGTGATATCGAGTCAGCACGAGTGCCAGATCGATGTTCACTACCGTCGACGTGTCCTAAGGACTTCGTGTCCTTGCGGATTTGTGGCTGCGACCATCAAATGGTGGTCTGCTGAGCGACTTGGTGATGGGCAGATGTAAGACCAGGATCTCCATGGTCTTGGTCTTGGTGTTACGTACTCGAGTCTTGGCTCCGATCTTCCACTTTTGCACTTTTTGCAAACCTTAGATCAAGACTGCAAGATCAAGATTGCAAGATCAAGACTGCAAGACAAAGACCGATTTTGCTCATCACCACGGTCGACCAGTTTCCATGGCTCGGGGCGTTCCTACGTCGCCTGGAAAACTGCTTCTAGGGTGTCCTTATTTTTCGTTCCCCTCGTCCTTACCGTCCCTGTGCTCCTTCTGCCCGTGCGAATCCTTGGTGTGGTGGTCCTCCACCCCGTAGTGGTACTCGTATTTGGGGTGAGCCTTGTAGTCGTGGTAATGGTGGTGACCATGCTTGTCCTTCCACGTCACTTCCACGTGGTGACCCTCCACGGGACCATGGAAATGATGGAACGAGTGGGCATGCCCGTGCTCATGGTGGTCGTGCTCAGCCTCGACATCTGGAATGAATCCCGAAAATCGACATCCATGTCCTTGCATTTTAAGGACCCCTTCACTTGCGCGATCTCCAACGCGTATCGAGGGGATGTGAAAGTGGCATCTAAAGAGTGAAACGTTCATGAAACTTTTCTCCAAAAAGGGTGTGCCGAATCGTTTCAAACTTCACAACGCGAATGCGGAGGCTGTAAGAAAGATCCTGACCCTCATGAAATTTCATTTTTTATAACAAATTTTAAGAATATATATGAAAAAATTTAAAGCAAATTGAAATTTCTTGAGTTGTAGTTGTATACCCTCCACATTTATATTGTAAAGTTTAAATCGATTCAGTGCATTCCGTTTGAAGGAAAGTTTCATGAACGAGAACTCTTTGACTCCACTTTCACATCATCTTAATGTAATGGTACGATTAAATTGCATTCACAAGAAAATGCACATTCTTATATGAATATTAGGTGACCGATGCTCTTTCGAAAACGCGCTTTGTCAACGGACCCTAATGCGGACCTTCCTTGGGATATTTTCCATTTTTCTCCGAGTGAAATTAGAGAATTTAATTGCAGAGCGGCCCGTTATTATTTCCCACCGCGGAATTACGATTAATGTACCTTGATGTTCTGCAGACTGGCCGAGAACAACGGCTCCCAGGAGGATGGTGTACAAAACCGTCGCCTGTGGAAGTTCAGATGGCTTACAGAAATGTTCCACCGAAAATGATTAATCCGCGTAAGGTATTCGACGCGTGAGAAATTGTTTCACGTAGTTTGGACCTTTAATATAATTTTGAGATTTTTTTTTAAGGTGAGGGATTTGACTTTAATCACGGGGAAATGAATCGGACTAGCCGAGGAGGTTTTTTCCTCCGAGAAAGGAAGGAATCAAGGTTCGAGGTCTCTGCTAACGAAGAACCCTGACCTCTCCAACCTCTCCACCTGCCGGCCTTTGGGCTATCCTGATTGCCCTCTCTGACAGGTAGATTATTAATCCCTCCACATGATCACGGCTCCCCCGGTAACGATCCAATTAGGTAATCCGCGAAGAATTTAATGACTCTATTTGCGGGAATTATTAAAAACTGACACACAATGCCACGGCGGTTCGCGCTTTGTGCGGAGTGTATTCAGTTTCCAGTAGATATCCGCAGAAATTAATAATATTTTCGGAATAACAGCGAGGCATGGATTGAATTATCTGCGTGTTCATTGTTTGATCAATAACCGCGCGTAAAATAAAGTTAAATCAGATGAGTAATTCGATACACAGTCGATGCATTCCGCGCATATTTCTCGCCACTTCGTCTTTTTTTTTTTTTCCTTTACCGGAACCGCACATTCGTCATTGAATCGATACCCCCCGGGAATTAATGGCGATCGGAGCAGTCGCGAATTTAATAATTCGTATAGGAAAGGCGCGAAAAAATGGCGGCATTTCCGAATCCTCCGTTCAGACTACCTTAAAAACAAGCATGGTCGGACCGGGTCGAATCACTGTAGAACACTGTTGGTTCGTTTGACGAAATCGGTCCATTTTATACCTCTTTTCCAACCCTAACTGTTCGGTCCTGATATTTTATTGCTAACATTCCTCATTCGCCGGTGATTTAATTACCCTCCGTGGCGGATTCCGTAGCTGCGGAAAGCTGGACCTTCTAGCCGAATCGCGGCTACATAATGGCCTCAAGTTCCGCTTAAAGGTCCAACGTAAAGTTACGGCCGGCGACTTCGACATCGCCAAGTCACCAGACACGGGCTGGTATCGGGTGATAATAACTCTGGCTGTGTTATTAGTCAACGCAGTTCGCGCCCGTTTACGCAAATTGCTGGGGAATCGACCAGCAGTCGTTTCCCCGTTCTTCGGAGTGGGACCGAAGAGGGACCAAAGAGGTACCAAAGAGGTACCAATGTGGAATCAAAGGGGAACCAAAGAATGACCAAAGAAGGACCAAAGAGGGACCAAAGAGGGACCAAAGAATGATCAAGAGGCACCAAACTCCTTTGGGACCCACAAGAAATGGGCCGAATGGGTTGAATTAAAGCAGAGCGGGACCAGATTGTTGCATTTTAAGATTATTAACTTTTACCCGCTTCATCCCAAACCTGGAAACTCGATCAAGTATAAATCCTTGTCTTATTGTTACTTATTATTATTTTTAGCTAGATAAGAGGGGAATATTGGCAAATTGGTTAGAGCGTTCCATCGATCCCCGTAGTTCCTACCACTCGATCTCACTTTGAAAAATGTTTATTCAAAAAATGTTACAAAGAAAATCCATAAAACCATCCTCGACGAAATTACACGCGGTGGACATTTGTAGACCGGGTCACGCGGGGTCGAGGTGGAAGTTCTGCATCCAGCTTTCGACGACTCCCTGCAACATCTTACTCCTTGTAACAACTAGGTCTCGTCCCCTCGAGCTGGTCGAATAGGCCGGAAAAGTCGTTCCTCGATTCCCTGGCCGGCAATTGACGAGCCCGGATTCACCTTGAAGAATAATTCACGCGTAAGACGCTCTCTCGGCGGTCGGGCTCTCGGCCGGTGTCCGCCGAGGAAAGGAAAACTGCAAGAAACTCGGTTTAGTCGGGAGAAGAAAGATCTAATGGGATATTGACTCTGGGGACCGTTCAAAGTGCACTCTTGCAGGAAAGCGCCGCCGCTACCTCTGCAAGACCTCCCGGCCATACGTCTTCGGGGCGTATTAACCGAGTCCTGGATCCCGGCCCGAGGACGGCCGATTCGATTTCCCGGAACAAGCAGGATCGACCCGGCATCCGTTCGATCTCGAGGTTTCATCCGTCAGCCTCCGAGGACCCGATTCCGCCGAAGGACCGTACTTATCGATCACTTAGGAAGCTCCGATGGGAGCTTACGGAACTGGAGGGATTTCGCGGCGTGTTCTCCACTTGGCGGCCATTTTGGTCCCGCGCGAGGATCCACCTCGTCCTTTACTTTCCCCACGGATTCGTCATCCGGTATGGAAATTTCACAATCATCAATTGTCTCAAGCATTGCGCTCGTATTTCTACCTCACTTTTACTCTTTAAACATGTTTAGATATTTCAAATACTTTCGAATATAAAGGCTCAAGAAACGTAAAACCAGAAATTGCGGCAGTCGAAATGAAATCGGGACAATTGTGTACTGCGTTTCGATGAATACCATTTGTATGTAGAGTTCGTACAAGGTAGTCCAAATTTTGAACAAGACGGCATATGAGGGAAGAAAACGGTATATGTGTTAATAGATGCCTCGCGCGAAAACTAGGGACAAAATGATTTTGAAACGTAGAATAGATGCCATTTGATGTTCGGATACAATACTTGGATACTAAAATCCCAGACTGATTATTAGATTACTAGATTTCAAAATGTTGCATCTGGAAACAATTTCTGTAACATGTATATTATATTTTTAACACATATTTTTAACGGTGTATTATTAAATACGTCTTTTATCGGTAGTCTATAAACGGCTGATAGGAGTCTTTTAATGTTATCGTTCGACAGGACCTCTCAATTCAAAGAACGATTCCGACCCAGCAATTTCTACCGATTTATATTAATTAAAAATAGACCCAACATTTCTCCAATTTTATCCCCACCATAATATTGATAATCGAATGTCTGGATAACTTTCCACGAGGCGTTTCCGACCTGGCGGCCCATTTTCGCAATCTTGGCCAACTAAAAGCGATACTTACGTGCCTCAACTTCCACCTGCGAGTGTCGTAAACGTTGCTCATGGCTGTATAAAACACCTGCATTCCGATGGATTTCCAAATATCCCGGGCGATATCGCCGTTTAATTCCGGGCTCCCCAAATTCTCGGGGGAAAAATGTGGAACTCCCTTCTTTCCTTTTTTCTATCTTAATTTTCATAATCGGCGAAATGAGTCATTCCCTTCGTTCCCGCGGTTTGATTTCCAGGAATCGTTCGGCAACCAGGAGTGTCTGTCGGAGTTCTTATTCGCGGTGCGTTGACGCCGGTTTTTTTCTCTTCCCTCGGGATGTATTTGTGCAAACTCGTCGGCAATTCGCAGGATTATTGCTCATTAAGTAACTCAGCTAGCAGCGATTAAGGCAATGGTGCACGGCCTACAAGTGACGCAACGAAATTGCGTCGACGACGCCCAGTTTTGTCGAATTTCTTGCGGGCCTTGGAGAAAGTAAGAGGCCGGGGAACTTTGGCCACCCCATATCATTTCGCTGGACTTTATAGCGACGCGTTCCCCTGCCACATCCGCGAAAAAGTTAATCAACGGAGGATTTTTTGCTGCCGGGTTTTCTGGACTACGATTCCGGAAGCGCGGCTTTTTTTTTACGAAAATTCGAAACGAACTTTAAAGGAGTTACGGCAGGTGAAAGGACTCACAAATACCAGACTGAAAAACCGACGAATTTATTTTGCTCTATCGTACGTACACGTAGGAGGTGCCTGGCTCGAAATTTTGATTATTGGAATGAGTAATTGTAGATCTTAAATGGGTTTTGAGATAATTTTAAGAAGGATAACTTCGATACAATCGAGGTCCCCATTTAAGTCTTAAGGTGATACGAAAGTGAAGGATCTCGCTTTTAAGTTTTCCCCAACTGAGTGTACCGAATAATTAGAGATTTTACCACATGAACATCAAATCTCTAAGGCAAGTCCTGATACCCATGAAATTTCATTTTTTAAATTTGTCTATAAACATTTTGGTAATTTTGAAGAGAAAATGAAATTTCCTGAGTGCCGGAACCTTTCTTAGGACCACCATACTCACATGGTAAAATGTTAAATAATTCGGTACACCAAGTTTACAGAGGAGTTTTATAAACAAGTGACCACACAGATGCGACTTTTAATCACCTTAACTCTTTTTCTACACCACATTTCATTCTTCCGGCAAAACTTAACGTAGCACCTTTTTCTTGCACCACACCTTCGCGAAATTAATTTACAAATTGTATATTAATTGCCAATTTATCCCAGAAGGTTGACGTTTGCAAATTTCGCATTATATCATTTTTTAAATTTATATTAAGTAGGACGTATCAGGTCGAAAATAGGACTTGAGTGAAATGGGATATCAAAGGAAGGCTTACTTGCTCCGCAGATTTAGAGTAGGGTTAAAATTTCGACACTATTATAAATAAAATGCTATCGAGGATTAATATATACGAACGGAGAAAGAAAAGAGAATGACCGATAAATCGAGGAGAACGGGGTCCGAGTGTCGATATACATTTCCCGGCTGAAGTCAGAGTCGAATTTTATTGAGCAGTCCGAGGAAATATAATTAAAGGTCCAAGAGGACGACAAGAGGTGGCCGGTGAAGTTTGGAGAGATTCTTCAGTCTCCCTCGAACTTGTGAAGTGCCCTGAATTGCGACAATCCCGAAAGCTCGCGTTTATCGACCGATGGCTATCGGCGATCGAATTTCAATTTCGCGGTGTATCGCCAATTCTTGGACAGCCCACCAAGAAGCTTGCATTATTAACTGGGGTGGATTATAAAAGTGGAGGAAAGTGCCGGTGCACCCTCCGATTAACCTGAAACGTAAGTTTCGAGCCCGCCTCTCGAAAGGACGAAAACTTCGGCGAATCTCAATCTGAAACGAAAAGCTCGCGAAGAGACCTGGACACTTTTGGAGCTTTCGAACATTTACTTCCAACTAGGACTTTCGAGAATTTGATCGAGATTTAATCGTCACCGGTACGAAAAGAGGGCAACAGACGGTTTGATAAATTAATTCGTTAACTCGTTTACACTGGAATTAAGCCCTAGCCTAGATTTGGCGTGGCGCCTTCGAGAAAGCCCAAAAATTAAATCCTAATCGACGTCTTTCAACAATTTTCCCCTAAATCAAGCAGCTCGGGGCTGAGAGTACTCGCAGGAAATTTTGGCACGGTTTCTGAAGTCTGTCGTCGAATGTGCGACGAGTCTTACGTTAAATATTTTACACTATACTACGGATGCGCTTAATTACATATAATACAATTCTTTGAGCTCTGATGGGACGCCGTTCGACGTCTTCCGGTGTCCTTTTCGGAGCCTCGAATTTTATCGACAGAAAATCCTTGGTTTCGTGGCCATGTTGTACGCGGCCAAAGGACTCGACGTTGTCAACGCCGGTATCAACGAATTCTGGACAGCTTGTGTTGTCAATGGAGCCGTCCAAGTGCCTTCCTTTGGTGGTGAGCTCGATCCCGCTTCCGCCCTAAAAAAGGACACAAAATACACTAACTCAAAGTGCACATACCCGAGCTGAAATTTTAGCCCTTCTTTGAAGCTCCGTTTTTGGTCCTACCTCTTTTTCTAATTTCTACTTTCAGCCTTATACGTTTCACTTAACAGGAATTAATTCCTACTTTCAACCTTGTATATCCCAATTAATATGGACTAAGTCCTACTTTAGATCTACAAATAGAACAAGAGGACACTCTTACGGTCTTACGGTCTAAAGTAGTATCTCAATTTTTATTAACATGTGCGACATGGGTACTCGATCGTCCTCCGTGTATTTCCTCGTTGTCATGAAATAACAACAAAAACATCCCCGGGGTACGATTTAAGTAACTAGTACGCATTTGATAACTTTTCCCTATAGAAATGACCAATGGTCATGTTATCCCAAAATCAATTTAACGCCTGCAATTAGAGGTTCTAAGTGGGATTGAAATTTTGACACGGATACATCTCTCAGCGTTATCAAAATTTAAATTAAATTGATTGATGTTCGACATCTGGAATTGGCGGAGCACTCGAAGGATGGGAAAACATTTTTGGAAGCGTCTGGTTGATTTTCAAATTTAAAGTCATCACGTGGTATTACGTTTTTAGAACAGGCGGAGCATAGAGAACGACGGGGTTTACAGGGGGCGGCTTCAACAGCACAACGTCGACCCCTGAAGAGAGAAGCTCGCTTCTTAATGCCTCTGCAGCACCTTCGACTGCTCTTCGGGAAGCTCCGTAGCCGACCAATCCCATTCCAGCTTTCGTGGCGAAGCTGGTTTCCGAATCTCCGAGAAGGACGATGCGACCTGTAAAAAAGGAGAGAAGAACATTAGCACCTACCGCCATGAATCCAGGTGGGAAGGTCCAGGCAAAATATTTAAAACAAAATTTTCTAGGAAGAAATTTGGTTAGAGAATATTAGGTTTGACTATGCAGAATATGGTAAATATTTGATCGATATGTCATTTTCTGGTAAATAACATTCGATGAAATACAACAAAAATCGTGGAAAATCACGCTAACTAAAGTAATCTGGCATATTTAACCGGACTTATTATCTTTATTAACGATTTAATCAAAACACTGTAGTCGAAGCAAATGATCTTGGTCGACGGAACTGAAATTCGCTTTTGTTCGGTCAATACAAAATATTTGATACAACATTTTTCGTGGTTCAACCATAGGCAATATCTGGTTCGACCATACAGAATATGGTAACCATTTAATATGCCATTTTTTGGTAAATATCTTACGATAGATTACAGCAAAAATCGTGGCAAGTCACCCTTACTGAAGTAATCTGACATATTTAACCGGACTTATTATCTTTATTAACGTTATTAACGATTTAATCGAAACACGTCGAAGCAAAGAATCTTGTTCGAGGGAACTGAAATTCGCTTTTATTCAGTTGAAATCTTTTCTGGAATTAATCGAATGTGGTTAAGTAAACGATTTTGTTTAACCGACTCTGCTTGTTAGACTTAGACGTGTACTTCGAGGAATAAATAAATATTCCTTCTCCGTTCGTTTTCCTTGATTATAGAAATACCATGCGTGCTTCCCCACATTGTATAGTTACCCCCGAAAGACTTTACGTGCTCTTCAGGGCAGTTAGGTGGGTCTCTGGTTTCCTGAAGGTGAGAATTTTGGAATATCTCCCAGAAATTCAATACGGCAGGGCGGACTCGTCCTTGCTTGTACACCAGGGAGGAATTTCGTAACGAGGTTCACTCGTTAAAAAAGTTTCCCAGGATTGCTCGGGAAAGGGAGCGTCGACTTCCTCCGACGTCCGCGATTTGTTCGAGTAATCGGACTCTCTTAAGGACAGTTCGTTGTTGTTCTTCCCCCCCGGCGAGTTCCCGAGGAAAAACTCCGTAACGAGATTACCGAAATAGAATCCGAAGGCGTCCGGAATCGCCGGAAGTGTCTCCGCCACTTGGCGAAGTCGCCGCGACAAGAATCGCCCCGGAAACGTCGAAATCCGCCGAGAGTTTCCCTCTTTCCTTTATTCGAGGACATCCCAGTCGAATTGTTGATCCTTTGTGGGTTTTTAGGTGATATAAAGAAGGACGGAGTCCCGAAATTCTTAGCCTTACTTTGAACCTGCGTTACCTAAGTAAGTCCTTCTTTGGTATTCCGTTTTGCTCTTCATATCCCATTTTCAATATTGTTCCATTTAAAACGAATTAATTCCTCCTTCGAGCCTCCAAGTAGAAAAATGGAAATATCTGCCACTTTTAAGGTCCGAAGTAGGACCTTAATTGCATAAAAATTACCCTTCTTTACCCTGCCTTGAAATCCATTTAAGTTTTACATTTCGAAGTTTTAAGTGGGATAAAATTGTCAACTCGGGTAACTTTTATGCAGTTTAAGTCCTATTTTAGACCTTAAAAGTATAAAATGTGTCTCTTCCTTCTACTTGTTAATTAAAAATGGGTACCACTTAATTCGTATTAAGAGGGACGTTTGAGATCGAAATTAGGGAAATCGGAGGTAAAAATGGCTAATTTAGGTCACGCTGGTTCAAAGTACAGCTGTAACGTCGTCTCGAGCGGTTGACAATTATTCCTCAAAGCCAGTTACCGGTTATTCCCGAAAGCCGGTTAACAATTATCCCTGAAATTGTTTTGTACCGCCTAATCGGGCCCTGTCAAAGGTCGCGATCAGCCTTAATCGCGATGAAATCCGAGATTCCCTTCTTCAGGGGGGAAAACGTCACAAAGGATCCGCGGGGTCGGGAAAAACGTTTCGTACTTCCGGCCGCGATTTGATCGGATAATCGGCCGACCCGTAGGCGATTTGTCGTTGCGCTTCTTCGCGAGCTTTTCAACGGAGAAAATCCGATAACGAGATTACCCGAGTGGATCTCTCGAGGATCGGGGATGCTGCGGAGGACCTTGCGGATTCGGGGCAAACGAGAATTTTTTCCCGTGAATCATCGTTGTCCCCTTTGACTGGTCGATTCGAGAATCGATGCAACGCAGGACGCTTTCGAGGGTTGGACACATGCCCCGGGAGAATTGCGAGCAATTCCATTAACCTTTTGCAATTATCGAGCCGATCAAAAACTTCGGTCAGAGTGCGGCTGGTCCGAGGCGGCTGATTGTAGTCATGAACGCGTTTTATCGTTCTCGTCCTATTTATTCCTCGATTATTTAAACGTCACTGATTAAGAAAAATTTTCTTGTCGCCCCCGGAATTGCCTGGAAAAATTCCTGTGAAACAAGGAATTCTCTCCCGGAGTTCTATTTCCTTTTGATGTCACTTTAGTTGATAGGTCCCGTCGCGAGAAAACGTTCACATTAATTCTTCGCAATTACACAAGTTTCAGTAACAGGGTGGACGAATTTCGCCTGTGAATGTAATTAGCGACGCATTTCATCGTTGCCATTCATTGTATAGATTTCAATATTGTTTCCTCAAACTGGGAAGAAAAAATTCTGAGGAATGAGGGATTCTCCCCCGGAGTTCTAGTTCCTTTTCATATTGCTTCTATCGCGAGACTACCTCTAATGCTATTGTTCATTCTTTGCAATTATTCACACTGCAGACAATGTGTGGACAGATTTTGTTTCTGATCGTAATCAACATATTTTATCATTACCATCCTATGTATTCCGAAATATATCATAAGAAAGGTTAGGGAAAGTATTTCGTGCGAGTCTGTCTCCTCCAGAAACCGTGTGGAAAAATTCAGCGGAACAGGAAATTCTCTCCGGGCATTCCCGCTCTTTTTGACGCGGATTCTTTCGACGCGGATTCTTTCGACGCTCCGTTGCGAAGTTACATCACTGGAATACATTTCGACACATCTTTTCTGTCTTGCCCGATGGAAAGAGCGTTCCTAGGCCCGTGAGAGGAAACCCAGGGAAATTTCTATGGTACCTTTCTTCGAGCGTAATAGAGGCATGAAGACCCTGGCTGTTCGCAAAGGTGCAACCAGATTGTGTCGCAACATCGATTCCCATGCCGAGCTGGATTGTCGCTCGATTATGCCCGGCAAAGCCAAGCCTCCGGTGTGGACCACTGCCCAAAGTCCTAAAATGAAAACAATACCTATTAACAATTTTAAAAAAATTCCTAGAAGTCCTTATGAAAGTGACACAAAAGTGGCATCTTCCGGATCAACCGTTTATAAAACATTTCTGCGAACTGGGAGTGAATATGGACGCCCCAAGGAAGGTCCTATAACCCATGAAATGTCCCATAAAAAAATTAGAAAATGTAAACAAATGTTGAATATGAAATTTCACGGGTGTCAGGACTTTCCTTAGGACCTTCATATTCGCGTGGAATAATTCCATCGATTCGATCCGCCCATATAGAGGAATGCTTTATAAACGAGACCTTCCAGACCGTTTTGATATAACCTTAATCCGAGTATTAATTTTAATTACATCTTCGTCACGGAGGTTCCACGCCTTATTCTTGTATCGGATAATTACTCCCGACTTGTCTAGTGAACGTATATTTAGTCACGGCTATCTATAGGCTTGCTGTCAAGTGATTACGTCACTTCGAGTAATCCATTTTCCCAGGGGTCTCAACGTCGCAGTATGTGAAGAGTATCGAGTAAATCGTGTCGACTTGTTAGACATATTTCCCTAATAAGAATTTCAATTTATCGGCGAGATTTCCCCTAAAGTGAGGTTGGGGAAGCTTTCACGGCGTAATGAATCCCCGATTACCTAATCCCGACTGCACGGAATCATCGACGTCGGGACGTAAACCGAATTTATTATGTATATTCACTTTCCATCGCTATGGACGGATGCAACGGTGTAAACAATTTTTACGAACAAGTTCCTCAGTCGAAAGTGGCTCTTCGGCTCCCGACATCTACTTTCGCAATTCCCGGTGTTAGGAAGAAAATGATTGACAATGAATCGCGCAATTCCACCTCCAGGGCGATCCTCGATTACATTCGAAGACGATGGAAGTGTGAACTGATTTCGACAATTTTGCCGAATCGCGGAAACTTTGCCGGCTCGTTTTCCCATTCGTCGTATCAGAGAATGGGATCAAACGAGATCTTTCGCCGATCTCGATTAAAGAAACGAGGATAGATATTCCTCGAAGCTATTGGAGAGATCGCTCGAGAGTTGAAATTTTAGACCCTTTTTCCCTCTTTCAGCCCTACTTTAGATCATTGTATTCAATATAAATGAAGTCCTACTTTAGGTCTACAAGTAGAAGAAATGGAAATATAAATTCCTTTAATGTCTAAACTAGAACCTCAACTGAACAAAACTTTCCGCTTTTCTACATTACTTCAAAATCCATTTAAGACCTACAAATAAAGGTATCAAGTACGATCAACATTTCGACTCGGTATTAGAGCAAAAAACGGATAAACAGTGCTCTAATAAAAATTGAAAACTTCCATTTAACTCGGGTAATCAAACTTTTGGCCTTTAGCCTTATTTCACTTTTTATATCCAATTCTCCACCTTGTACGTTTTACTTGATACGAATTAAATGCTACTCTAGGCCCACCAGCTCTTTTAGGTATATCTACTCTTTTAAGGTCTAAAGTAAGACTTTAATCCCTTCCTTGTATCCTCTCAAAACTAATTTGAGGTCTGCAATTAGATGTCTCAAGTGCGATCAAAATTTCGACTCGAGTCGACGCATCCGGTAGGTCAGGTTGGCATGGGATAGGTCAAGTTAGTGTAGGTCAGTTCCACCGACCGAGGAGTTTCCCACATTGGTATCGACCGATTGACCGGGTATTAAACTTGCCATCTTCGCCGGCCGGAAGTTTGGCCCTAACTGCATCCAAACAGGCGTGCAAACTGTCCTCGCGAGTCGCGTCCAGCTCCAGTGGCACGATTTGTCCTGGAGCACGTCCTTCCTGTGCATCCTGCCCCTCCAGGGGAACGACGTCTTTTTCCCGCTCGCGGCGGAGCTGCATGGCTCGTAAGATCCTGGCCGATGCAGAATTTCCACTGGGGTCCAGCAGTCCGGCAAACACCTAGAGGACGATATTGCTCGGTTATTGCTCGGTTATTGGAGGGATATTGGTTACCGCGGTGGACCCCAACGTGACCCCGAAACCGATCCCGACCAAGGATTCCGTTCCTGGTACCCTCAAGAAATCTGAAATAAGGACTTTTCCACGTTACTCGATAAATAAGGAATTGTCGCTTTCGCGCGTTTATCGGGTGGTTGAGGGTCGCAACAAACGCATTTGCATGCACTCCGAGTTCTTTACGTCATGGATGGACACGGTGTTGGATCGGATGCCCTCGTAAGGGAGGAATTTCACTTCTCGAGTCAAATTTATTGGAGGGTTATTGATTGCCGCGATGCATCTACAACATGGCCCTGAAAGCGATCCCGGCCAAGGATTCCATCCTGGTACCCTCAGAAAATCTGAAATAAGGACTTTCCGCGTTACTCGAAAAACAAGGAATTGTCGCTTTCGCGCGTTTATCGGGTGGTCGAGAGTCGCACCAAACGCATTTGCATGCGCTCCGAGTTCTTTACGTCATGGATGGACACGGCGATGGATCGGATGCCCTCGTAAGGGAAGAATTTCACTTCTCGAGTCAAATTTATTGGAGGGTTATTGATTGCCGCGATGCATCTACAACATGGCCCTGAAACCGATCCCGGCCAAGGATTCCATCCTGGTAGCCTCAAGAAATCTGAAATAAGGACTTTCCACGTTACTCGATAAATAAGGAACTGTCGCTTTCGCGTGTTTATCGGGCGGTCAAGTGTCGCGCCACACGCATTTGCATGTGAGCACAGTTTCTTTATGACATAGATGAACACGGTGATGGATCACATGCCCTCGTAAGGGAAGAATTTCACTCCTCGAGTCGAATTTACTGCAGAGTTATTGGTTGTCGTGATTGATCTATCCTGGAACCTTCAAAAAATCGAAAACAAGGACTTCTCCACGTTACTCGATAAATAAGGAACTGTCGCTTTTACGCGTTTATCGGGCAGTCGAGTGCCGCGCCAAATGCATTTGCATGCACCCCATGTCTCTTTACGACATGGATCGACACGGCGATGCATCGGATGCCCTCGTAAGGGAATAGTTTCACTCTTGAAGTCAAATTGATTTGAGAGTTATTGATTGCCGCGATCGATCCATTCGGGGATCTGCAGAAAATCGAAAATAAGGACTTCTCCACCCTACTAGCTACACGTAACTGTCGCTTTTGCGCGTTTATCGAGCGGTCGAGTGTCGCACCAAATGCATTTGCATGCGCTCCATGTCTCTTTACGACATGGATCGACACGACGATGCATCGGATATCCTCGCAAGGGAAGGATTTCACTCCTCCGGCCAAGTTTTGGAACCGGAGGCTCGCGTAGCCAGACCGGAACGAAACAGGTCGAGTGGCTGCTTTCCTTTTCGAATAATCGAAAGTCGAAAGTGCCCCGGGCGTTGTGCGATTTCCGGGGTAATTCGAGCATTCCGAGGCAGTGAGCGACCGCGCTTACGATTCGCCCGGACGGTTTATCCCCGCCCGGGGAAGGGCGAGATTTCAACACTGATTTTCCCATCGCCGAGATATTCGCCCCCCCGGACTTTGAATAGTTTGCATGAACAATTGCTACTAACGGCTCGCTACAAAACTTCGCCCGGGCGGAGCGGAAATTGTTTTCGGAAGGCGAAGATCCGCGCTCTTAAATCCAATTAGACTCGGGGATTTCCCTTCAAGGTTGCTATACACCTCGCTTAAACGGGGTCCAGGGGAAACGGGAGTTCCTGGGGAAAAGGAAAAGCGGCGTTTCAACTCACCTTGTATCCCGCTTCCGAAAGTGCAAGTGCAATCTGCATTCCTATGCTGGTTTCGCAACTTGTCACCAGGACGTGCCGCCTCCCTCGCATCTCGAACTCCTCCGTGGAGTTTCTCGACTGTTTCACCAGGTATGCCAGGAGTGCCCCGACGATGGAGCACAGGGCCATGATCTGCAGGGCCAGGACGGCCCCTGTCTCCGCGTCCATTTCTTCGAAACGCCGACTTCTGCAAGGAACCGGACAAAATTGCATACGTTTCTTTTTCTCCTTTTCTCTCTTTCTCCTCGATTCCTGTTCCTCGCGACTTCTATTAACCTCCGACGGTAATGGCCGGTCCCGTTAGGGGGAATGAAGACTTTTTGAGACCCTCGCACTCGTTTTACCTGGTCGAGCGGCCACTAATAACGCGGTGCGCGAGATTGATGGCTAATTTTAACGGTGCGGTATTCCTTCTCCTCTGCCGCGCCGGATGCGTCAGCACACGCGGTTCAAGGAAATCATTTTAATGGGACTTGAACGCCGGGAAGGAATGCCTCTTCAAGGTGTACCTCTGGACGAAGGCTCAAGGAATCGCACGATAAATCCGTAGGTGGTCCCGCACTTGTCGCGGTAATAAACGTTCAAGGGAACGAGGTCGACCTCGATTCTCTGATGAATGAGCTGCACTGTTAAAAGTGCTTCCATATTTCGAACTCTTTCGACCACAGGTCCCTACCGACACAAGAAACGGCGGTACTAAAAATGAAAACCCAACAAATGTGCACTGAATTTCTAACGGCCTCGTTTCCAAAGGAACGGTCGTTACAAGCATTCGATATCTCGAACACTTTCGAATACAAATGTCCACTGGAAAAAGAAAAAAGAAATTGCGACACGGGAAATGAAGATCGCACAAATGAGTGCCGCATTTTGAAGGACGCCATTTCTTTGCGAGAATTCTCGAAAAGGTATTTCAAATTTTCATCGATACTGGGAGAGGGGAAAAGAAATCGGTACACGTGTTAATTAATGTGCTGCAACGTGATTTTATTAAAACCCGTGTAATTATGTACACGTGGACAAAAGATTTCGAGATTTAGTATCCTCGTGTACCATCTGAAATTCGTATATTTGTACTAAACTCTCGAAGAATCACGAAATATGTACATATATGAAATTTCGAAACATTGCATCTTGGGAAAATTCCGACCGTGTATGTATTATGTTTCGAGTAGATATTCTTAATAGCGGATAAAATACCGTTTTTGCAAAGTGTGGAATTATCGAGGGGATTCGACTCGGGGTAATTTTTTAATTGTCCGAAATCGCGAATAAATCCCTCCTCGAAGACGTTCCGGATAGAGCAAGTGAATTTCAGGCCGGATGCAAAGCGCAATTACGGCCGCAGTCGCGGATAATGAATTTTAACGATCCTCCGCCGTATATCCTCGGGACGTAACGCCGTTTCCACTTATTTGATTTCCACAAGACCTTCCTAAGCGGTTGTGCATAGAACGGGAACATATAATTATCGTGAAACTCTTAATGGCCACTCGTGGCCTCTCCCGAGACCGCCGGCCATTTCTTCGCACACATTCAGAGCCAAGAAAGGAAGGAAGAATGCGTTTTCTCGTGAAAAGTGAACGGCTTGGGCCAGATGGAGGTTTCCTTTTTTTATCCCCATAAACGGGACCGAAAAAAGGATCACTTGCCTTTCTAAACCAGAATTCCGAGATGCCGACTGGGCCCGATCGGACTTTAACGGGGACTCCAAGTGTGATGGGCTATTTTTCCGCTCCATTTTAGAGGAAAATTGCAACAAAAAAATGCAACCTTTTTTTTCACCCTCGACATGATTCGTATACATATTTTTTAATGATTTGATATCCTCCAAAAAGATGTGCAGCTTGGAATAATGACAATGATGGAGGATACAAGTGACTATAGCAGATAGGAGATTACTTTATAAAAATGGAAACTTACGAAATGACGAGACTTATGAAATTTTCCTTTCGATTTTTCGTCTTTATTAGCATTCAAACGGTCGCAGAAATTTAATAACAAAATATTTCGACTCGGTTCTTATATCTGCTGGAGATGTACATTTTCTGAAGGTAGACGAAAATGTTGGGTTAATTTCTTCCGATATGACGTGGAGTTTAAGTAAATCCCATTGCAGGTAAATTTCTGGAAAATGAAACTATCAGAGAGTACAGTAAAAACTAATTTCTCCATACCTCTAGGTTAGAAGACGCTTTTAAGCTCTCCGTGAAATTGATCCGATAAAATTCGGCTTTAAATCGGCTGCGAGGAAAACTCCCGGAAAATCGGCGATTCTTCTCGCCGGCGTTCTGACAAGTCGGAAAATATATTTGACGTATGGGAACCGTGGCGGGTGGAAAACATTTCAGGGATGGGAAAAAGTGGACTGCGTGCGTTGCACTAATCGAATTGTTGGAACGACTTCGATTCGACATGCGGATTGTTCATCCGGGCTGGCGAGCGGTATCCCGTGACGGATATTTCAATGAAGCTTTGAATTTGCGATATTTTCGAAACGCGGTAACCCCCGGGGAGGCTTTCTGGCGAAAATAATCATGTCGAGACCATCGCGATCCCGCGAAAGGGCTTTTGATACGTTTAATGAAACGTTGAGGGAAAATGGAAATCAGTTTGGCGTGGCCGATCCGCGGTTTTTTCGACTGTACGTTTGTTTGTTTGCCAATTTTTATTTTATTTCCACGGCGGCGCTTTTATTAAGGACGGATTGATTTTCTTCTTTTTCTTTTTTTCTATTTCCAATCACGGGGGGAAAAAGTAAAACGGAGAAAATTGGGGAACCGCGACAGAGGCTGGATCCCGATATCGAAAATCGAGCTTGCGAGTTTCGCAGAATTTCGATTTCGAGTTCTGCCATTAGGAAAATGTCGCCGATGTCTGTCACGTCGTACCGACTCTATCGATCGACTGTCACTTTCACTGTCACCGGATTCTGCAAGAAATCGTGACATTGGCAACTTGAAATCCGATTTACGTAAGCGGAGGCGTTCGGTCGGGAGAGAAATGGACAAGAAATATAGCGAAAAGATCAAAAGGCCGAACCCCTCGACTGGTCTTTCTTTCCTCGAAACGGCGAATGCTCGTTTTATCGTTGACCAAATATTGGGATATGGTCAACACGTTTCCCTGAAAACGTCCAATCAAAAGCGCCGCAGCAGGTCTCACGCATTCCATAAATACACGCAGAATTTATTGGCGTTATTACCTCACGGTTAGAAACTGTGTCAGGGCAATGATCCTTCAGGTGCGTAATGTGCACCTGGAATGCGAGCGAAGAAAACCTGCCATGCAATTTACAAAGGCAAAAGTTCGGGGCTGCGAATACAGCGAAGAAATCTGGCAAAAAGAAAAATCCGTAGACTCGAAAGGACATTTTTTTTTTTTCATTTTTTCATTGACCAATCAGTGAAGTATAGTCGAGAAATGTTCATTATAAACGTTCAGGGAAAATCGAGGAACGTGAAATGGAGAAAAAATATTTACAATCCAATCAAACCTAAAAATTCGATCAAACCACAGAAGGTCCATTAGACAAAACTCTCGTAAAATGAGCGAATAAATTAATAACAGCGGCTAAATAATGTCACTACTCGATGAAACGAACGATATACAATTTGTCCTCGCTAGTAAAGTTCATTTGAACCAGGGATATAATTTGTCTTGTCCCAACAAAATACCATTTTTCCACAGCCACAACAAAAACATTTCTTCAAACTAATTTGGTTAGTGCACCTCCATTTCCATTCGCAAAGGCAAGTGAAATTTTTCCCTACACTGGGAATTATTTCCCTGTAATGGCCAGAACCGGTCTCACGCATACCACGAATATATACAGGATTTATTAGCGTTATTACTTAAATGCACTAACAGAATAAAGTATTTACAATTCTATCAAATCACAGAAGTTCCATTAGACAAAACTCTCGTAAAATGAGCGAATATGAACCAGGGATATAATTTGTCTTGCCCCAACATAGTACCATTTTTCCACAGCCACAACAAAAACATTTCCTCAAACTAATTTGATTAGTCCATCTCCATTTCCATTCGCAAAGCAAGTGAAATTTTTCCCTACAACTGCGAATTATTTCCCTGTAGTGGCCAGAGCCGGTCTCACGCATACCACGAATACACGCAGGATTTATTAGCGTTATTACCTCAGAGCCGCAAACTATGTCAGGGCAACGATCGTTCGGGTGCGTAACGTGCCCCAGGAATGCTTAGGAAGGAGACCTATTCGCAAGGACCGCAAAAATCCGGTATGCAGGAATTCCCGGCGAAAAAACCTGGCGAATTTGCATTCCCGAATTTGATAAAACGAAACGAGGATCATTATCGAGCCCGGATGGCAGGTGTTACAATAACCAAAACATATTCGAAATAATTGGACGATGCAGCTCCCAGATGCGTATTGCAGTCGAGACCCGGGGCGTAAAATTGCGAAAATCGGGCGATTTCGAAGCCCGCCGAAATTGGCCGCTCGCTCTGGTGTCGAGTAACGAATCACCGTTTCGTAATTAAGCTCCTCGGGAATCGGGTTATCGAAATTAATTTGTTTCTCCTCAAAGGCCCGATGGCCGATCGCAAGCGTGTTCGTAAATATGGCCAGGCACGCGTGAGCACACCGAGGACACGGACGTGCTCGAACTCCGTGAGAAACGTGTGTCGGATCGTGATCGCCGACTTTCTCCGGAATGCATTGACACAGAAAGAAATCGAACCGATCGGTAAACGTAAATCATTCTTGCAAAGAAATCAGAGGCCGCTTTTTTTTAAACTGCCGAGATTGTCCGATTGTCTCTTTTTTAAAATGCCTCCGGAAAATATGTAACCGCATACGTTTTCTTTTCCCCTCGAGCGACTTATCTTTGCGTTTTGACAATTAGCATGGATCCAGCAAACATGACCGTTTCCTTGAGGCACTATTAAAATTATTCATAAAATTCATACTTTAGCATGTCAGGTTGTACACAAGTAATTGGTACATTCTTTAATAATTTCATAACGTCACGCTGTGATTTCGTGAAACTCTGAAGGGAAATTGATGTACTTTATATGATATGTTCATTAAATATGTAAATATGACATTATAAAGTTGCGATATTGTTTTAAGTGGGGTACATTTGAGAGGGTAGGGAGAAGGAGAGAAATCCAACACAGGGGCTGTT